GCCTACGAGAATATATGTGTGTGGACAGCTCAGCTGCTATGTTGGATTTGGCGGAGAAGCTGCTGAAAGGTGAGAAGAAAGTATAAGGAAGGACTTTTTCAAAGTTGAAGGAGTTAGGCAGAGAACTAGAAAGAGTGTTTTACTGGGGAGTAGAGGAAGGCTCAAAGTTAAAAATGAGTCTGATTTCTTTCCAGTGTTATGGTCAAGCAGAGGCTGGTGGAGGCCTTTGCTGGACTGTGGATGGTTTGGGTAAGATTAACAGGGCAGGTGACCCAATATTTTCTTACCCTATTGCATCTCACCCTCACCTAGTGCTTTTCTTTATTCTTAGGACCATGTTTCTTATCGAGAGATCCCTTCAGTGTATACCTATACAGTCCTAGTTGCCACGTCTCTGTTTTACTCCATAGGTGGCTCAGAATCTGGGGAGCCTTATGTTCCAGGTGTCTTTTTCAGACAGTTTCTACCTGTATCACCCAAGGCAAGTGACAACATTTAGAGTATGTTAAATGTGGAATTTGGCAGACAGAAAACTGTAGCTTCAGCTCTGCTACCCAGCACCGAGTGATAGAAGATAAAAGAGAACAGAAGAAATATCAGAGGATAGAACTTTGTTACAGTCTTGGAAGGGGAGCCAGGGGGAATGTCAGGTCTATTCATGTTTCTTATCTTGGTTCTCAGGTACAATTCGATGTGGTGGTATCAGCCTTTTCCCTAAGTGAACTGCCCAGCAAGGCTGACCGCACTGAGGTAATCCACACCTTATGGCGCAAGACAAGTCATTTTCTGGTGAGTTGAAATTGCTTTTTCCCTTCAAGTTGTTTTTTGTTTTTTTTTTTAAGTTTATTTATTTTGAGAGAAAGAGAGAGAGAGCAGGGGTGGGGCAGACAGAGAGGGAGAGAGAGAATCCCAAGCAGGCTGTACATTGTCAGTGCAGAGCCCAACAGGGGACTCGAACTCCCAAACTGTGAGATCATGACCTGAACTGAAATCAAGAGTCAGATGTTAACTGACTGAGTCACCCAGGCGCCCCTCCCTTTAAGTTTAAAGCAGCTTCATTGGTTTCACCTATTTCCTTCTCTCCACTGGAACTTGTGTTCATTCTTAACCATTTTCTCATGCATAGATCCCTTCATCCCTCTTTTAGGGTCTCATCCCCATCTTATATGGGGCAGGCCCTTTCTTTTAGGGCCCCCTCCTCCCATCTGCGAATGTTCTTACAGAGCTGCTAACATTTATGTTTTCATGTAATTCAGGGCTTGTGCTTATTTTCCTTTTTTGTGAACAGATATTGGTAGAGAATGGAACAAAAGCTGGGCACTCCCTTCTCATGGATGCCAGGGACCTGGTCCTTAAGGTAGGATTCTTCTTCTTTCATAACCACCCCCAATCTGTCACCAGTTATTGCTACTCCCTTAAAAACTGAAGAGACTCTGTTGTACAATGGTAGGGGTGACTCTCAGGATATTAGGCATATGAAGTCATTACGACATGTTATGGGGATTAGCAAACTAGGACCTGTGGATCAAATCCAGCCTGCCACCTGTTTTTATAGGAACCATGCTTATTGGTGTGTGTGTTGTCTGTGGCTGCTTTCACACTATAAATAGCAGAATTGAAATAGTTGGGACAAAAACAGATTTTACCTGTTCTCTGGGCTTTTAAAAAAGAAAAAGTGTGCCAACCCCTGTCTAGGGCATCACTAAGCCAAGAACCTTATCTTTTGGGGACAGTATGATCCAGTGTATAATCATAAATTTAATCGTCCTGGAGTGGGTTCTTTTTGAGAGTGGAGGTTGCTGACAAGGGAGAGCACCACACTATGTGCCAAGTTCCTGCCTTTCTCCTGCTACAAAGAGAAAGTTCTTTGTTTGGAGTATTAGAGAAGCAGCCAGCTTAACTCAAGGAACATAGTTAATAAATACCAGAATTGAACGTTAAAGGAGTCCTCACTTTACTGAGTGCAGAGATTGAATTATGAGAATAGACCCCTCAGACTTAATATTTTTTTTGGGTAGGCTCCACTCCCAGCATGGAGCCCAACGCGGGGCTTGAACTCACAACCCTGAGATCAAGACCTAAGCTGAGATCAAGAGTCAGACACTTAACCCACTGAGCCACCAGGCATGCCCCCACCAGCTTAATTTTTTTGGTTTTAGGGCAAAGAGAAGTCACCTTCAGACCCTCGACCTGGCTTTGTCTTTGCTCCAGTGAGTATTATTTCTGCCTTTCCCACCATGCAAAGATCTGAACTCAGCTATGGCCAGGAAAAGTGAGAGGGTAAAGCTAAGCCACCCTATACTATTTTGTGTCCCTATCCAGTTTCTTTCTTAGTTGTTCCCCTGGCCCTCCCTGCCTCCTGCTCCTGTGCTCCCATATCCCTAGCCCCTCTTGACTCTATCATTCTGAGTTTTTCAGTTGTATGATCTCTGTGGTTCGTTTGTCTTACCTCATGTCTTTTGTGTGTGTTCACAGTGTCCACATGAACTTCCTTGTCCCCAGTTGACAGCCTCTAAGCCCCTGGCCTGTAGCTTTTCTCAGGCTTACCACTCCATCCCCTTCAGTTGGGTATGTATCCTGAGAATGTTGCAACAGGGTGAAAATAGCCTGGGGGAACAGCATGAAAAAGAGTTGGAGAAGTCAGAGAAGAGCCTGGAGATTTTCAAGCCTGAATGTGCATGGCTTATGAAAAGGCTGCAGGGATGGGGGGGGGGGGGGACAGTTTTTTTCCCATCTCTTTTTCCTCCAAATAGTCTCTATGTCCTTATCTTAGAATAAGAAGAATCTAAAAGAGGAAAAGTTCTCCATGGTAATTCTTGCCCGGGGGTCTCCAGAAGAGGCTAATCGTTGGCCCCGTATCACTCAGCCTGTCCTCAAACGGCCACGCCATGTGCATTGTCACCTGTGCTGTCCAGATGGGCATATGCAGCATGCTGTGATCACAGCCCACCGGCATGGCAGGTATAAAGGGTGTGACCAAAATTAGGGGGAGGAGGCAAGACCCTGCAGCCCACACTGACTTCCCTTTTCCATAGGAATTTGTATCGCTGTGCTCGTGTCAGCTCTTGGGGAGATCTTTTACCTGTGATCACACCTTCAGAGTCGGAGCTTCCTCCGTACCCTGCTAAAGATCTCCCTGGAAGTTGACGAGGATGCATAACAAGTATTTGCTTACACAGGCCTGCCAAGGGTGAAGGTACCTGGTATCCAGGATGGGAGTACTCGCAGCCCTATGTATCTGTTTGAATTTTAATAATAAAAAGTTTGCAAAGAGTAGAAATGGATCTTGTGATTCTTAAAAGGTACAGAGGTCAGTTGTCATGGCCTATCCTGTGACGAAGAGAATCCTCAGATGTTCAGTGCCTGTTTCCCATACAGATCTCAAGCTCACCTTCTCCCATAAGAGTACTGTTCCCTCTGCCAGAGACCAGGGCTGCCCAGGGAAGTCACCCGAGGCAGAGAGGTGGGGAGAGCTGCCCCCAGCTCTCTGAGCACTGGCTCAGCAGATGTCATGGTTGTTAGGTGGCCACCTGAACAGGGGGCCAGCAGCTGCCTCACCTCTGTGTTTTTCTCCCTCCTTTCGTTCTGTCTCTCTCAGGGTCCATCAGCTCCCCAGTTTGCTGGATATATTTTCCTCAAGTGTCAGTCCTCATCAAGACTGAATTTTCCATCTCCCCCCACTGCAGATCCAGGCAGGACCCTTCAGTTTGCTTGGTTCATTTCTCAGCATTCCCCGAGACCTTCCTGTTTCAGAGCTAGAGCAACTTTCCTTGTCTTAAAGTTCTCACCCCTCTACCCCGATACACACAGTCCCTGACTTACTTACCATGGCTTGATTTTCAAGTTTTCAACTTTAAGATGATATGAAAGTGATACACATCCAGTAGAAGCTGTACTTTGGATTTTGAATTTGGATCTTCTCTCAGGTTAGCGATATGTGGTATGATCATCTCGTATTGCTGGCAGGCAACTGCCTGCTCCCAGGCAGTCACGCGATAGCGACAGTAAACGGCACCCTTAGAAGCATTCTGGTTTTTGCTCTCAGTACAGTATTTGGTAAATTATAAGGAATTTCAACACTTTGTTATAAAATAGACTTTGGTTAGATGATTTTGCCCATCTGTGGGCTAATAGAAATGTTCTGAGCACAGTTAGGTAGGCTAGGCTATGACTGGTAGCTGAGGTGTACTAAATGCATTGTCAGCTTAGGAGGCTTAAGTATGTAGCCCCATCGTACATTGAGGAAGATCTGCATACATCCAAAAATAGGCACAGTCAAAAGCTGGAACAGCATCAGTGTTGTAATACTAGAAATCTCAACTTCCCCACTAGACATTACCATGCCTAGAGCTATTTTTCTGGGGTTACAGGAAAGGGGAGTCCGCTCATCTAGTTTCCACAGAATGGTGGGTGGCAGCACCACCTCTCAGCCCCACCTCCTTACCTGAAAGTGGCCCCAAATCCCCTCTGAAAGGGGAGGGTTCAGATATCAGCATAACCCATGAGACAGGGAGTGGGGTGGGGTGGAGAGGGTATGGAAGTCTTAGATGAAGTGTCTTGAATAAGGCAGGACCAGGTGTCCCCAGTACAAAACAGCTGGGAAGGCCCTCCCCAAACTCCCATTTTGGATTAGACCAGCCCCAGGCATGAACTAAGACTGTCCACAGCATTTGGATTAGTCATGGCAGCGAAGAGAAGAGGACCTACAGCACAGGCTGTGCCTGGCAGGGAGTCTGGAGTTTCTGGTTTCCAAGTTCTGGAAGGCATGAGCCAGGGGAGGGGCCTCCTTGTAGGGGGAGGGCGGGAATCTGGGGCAAGGCCCCAGTCAGCTATGCAAGGCTGCGCAAGCAGAGGCAACACCGAAAAGGAGGAGGATCCCAAGAGCCTCCTGAAACTCAGGAGAGGAGCTACTCCAGCTTTGACCACCTAAGACAGCACTCCTCTGAAGATTGTAACTCCATTTGCCATCCCGAGGCCTCTGCTCACCCTGTACCCCAAGGATGGAACCACTACTGGGAGTAAAAATTGGCTGCGTGTTTGCCCTGCTGGTTCTCACTCTGATCTGTGGCCTTATTCCCATCTGCTTCAAATGGTTCCAGCTGGATGCAGCCACAGGTATGGCCCTGCAGCACATGTCCCCATGACCTAATCCTGACAACAACCCTGTCACCCCGTCCTGATGCTTTGCTCTGATTCTCTCATCATCCCCAAGCTTGGGGTATTGTGTGCCACTGTCTCTCTCTTGTCACCTTTTCTATCTCACTGCCAACTAGATTGTAACTTTCCCCATTTTTAGGTCGTCACCGCCGGGTCCTCAGCCTCCTGGGCTGCACTTCTGCAGGTGTTTTCCTGGGAGCAGGGTTCATGCACATGACTGCTGATGCCCTGGAGGGAATTGAATCAGAGATCCAGAAGTTTATGATGCAGGTGAGCAGCAGAAATGCTGAGCTGCAGAGCCAGGAGGCCAGAATGATGAGCAGAACCAAGGGAGGAAGGGAGAAAGGTGACAGAGTTGAGGACCAGCAGGGAGGGACAGGGAAGAAGACAGCTCTCCTGTGGCGTGGTGAAAACAGGTTGGACTTTAAGGAAAGCAGTGGAGCTGAAGGGGCAGGACAGGAAGCTGAGCTCCATCTTCCATTGATTGCTGCTTTTTTCACCCTAGAACAGGACAAAAAGGGAGGGAAGTGTTTCTGATGATGCCGATTCAGCACAGGTAAGTATCTCCTGCCAGTCCCTCCCGGGAGCGGGAGTGGAGCCGAAACTCCTTTCCCACCCAGACCCTTTTGAGGGAAGTATGTGAGGAGAACCAGAAATCCCCTCTGCTCCTCAGCTCAGACATCACAGACCAAAGAGGAGCCCACCCAATCCTTTTGGGTTTGTGGACGCCCTAAAAAAACTCTGCTTTACTCTTTCATTCTTTCTCTGGACCCTTTCACATGCCACACATTCTTTTCCCATTTTTCTAACCCTATCACTTTTGTGTCCCCTAGTCCCTCAAGGGTGGTGGTTGTCACTGTCCATACCTGCTCTTGGCTTCATTCCCCTGCCCTTCTTTCTGCACCATAGGCCACATCAATCTGGAAACATTTGAAGCAGATGGTAATAAGGCCACTGGCCAGAGTGAGAGCCGGCCGGGCAAATAGCCAGATTTTACTAATTGGGCACAGCCCCACATTTCCCATTCTCCTTGGTCTCCCACTCCCATGGCCACCCAGTGTACTTTCTTATCTTCCCTTCCCACCTCACAGCCCCTCTTTCTGTTCCTAGATGGAGTATCCCTATGGAGAGCTCATCATCTCCCTGGGCTTCTTCTTTGTCTTCCTTTTGGAGTCGCTGGCATTGCAGTGCTATCCTGGGGCTGCTGAAGGGGTCACAGTGCAGGAGGAGTGGGACGGGGCTCACGTCCTTGGACTCCACAGCCATGGACCTCTCCCCTCCCCCTCAAAGGGTCCCCTCCGAGCCCTTGTCCTCTTGCTCTCCCTCTCCTTCCACTCAGTGTTTGAAGGTCTGGCTGTGGGGCTGCAGCCAACAGTAGCAGCTACCGTGCAACTCTGTCTCGCAGTCCTGGCTCACAAGGGGCTCATAGTGTTTGGAGTAGGACTGCGGCTGGTGCAGATAGGCAGTGGCTCGCGATGGGCCACGCTGTCCATCCTGTCACTGGCTCTCATGTCCCCCCTGGGCCTGGTCCTAGGACTGGCTGTGACTCAGGGGGACTCTAAAGGGGGGCGTGGCTTAACCCAGGCTGTGTTAGAAGGTGTGGCAGCCGGCACCTTTCTGTATGTCACCTTCCTAGAAATTCTGCCCCGGGAGCTAGCTGGCCCCGAGGCCCCTCTGGCCAAGTGGGGCTGTGTAGCTGCCGGTTTTGCCTTCATGGCCATTATTGCTTTGTGGGCCTGAGAGATTCCTGATTCTTCTGATGGACCTATCTACAATGGCCTTCCTGCCCCTGGGAGACACTTCCCAGACAGCTTTGGCCCTCAGATATTTCTCTACTGAGACTAAGTGACATTCACTAGGCATCGTCCACATGAACTGGACCCCAGCTTTTCCCTACATGAGATGCCATTTCTCATCCAGGACTGAGAGAAAGATGTTTAAGTTGAGTGCCTATAAATTGGAGAATTGATATAAACACAATCACTCTAGATTTGACTCCTGTCCCATTTATGCTACTGTAAACAATAAAATGTCCATTTTACCCTTCCCCTTCAGCCATGCTATACATCTTTTCTGTAGGTTGCCTAGGAGCTGCCCAGTACAGGAAGTGGTGGAATGGGGAGTGGAAAGGGAGAATGGACACTGGATGGGGTATTTTCTTCTGGAATCCGGGCCCCTAGACATTCTGTCAGTTGCAGACCATGCCCTCCAAACATGGCAGCATTGCTGAAATTCCAACAACCTGCTCCTGTCTTCCCCACAGGTGTTGAGAAACTGAGCCAGAGTTCCCAGCATTTAGAGAGAAGAGGTGTAAAAACAGAAACCACGGGATCTAGATTTTTTTCCTACACTAACCACACCCACGTCACTCCCAGTACCTATTATCAGTCAACTACAGTGTGTCCAAAAGACTCATGAGATCAGGCTAAATAGAGCCTCCTTTCATCTGGCTTTTATTTTTCACACTGAGCCCTGTGTGGCCTCGAGGATGCTATTGCTCTCCTTTGAGCCCCTGTCTCCATCCAGCTACCTGCCTTGAGCTGCGGGATTAAGAAGCAGTGTTTAGAGAGGGAGAGAGGCGCCAGATAAATGCCTAGGGCGATTACTTGGCTTTGCCACAACTTAGTGGCTTTCCTTCTGCCTGCTCTACCTGCCCCTCTGCCTCCGGCCCCTCCCAACTAGGCCATCTGTCTTTCAGTTCAAGTAGCCCCTACACTGTGTTACATCTCTTAAAAACTACCAAGGACAAATACGGAGCTAATTATCTGCCTGTTACCCAGCCCCTTCGCCCATGAATTGGAGGAGTATTGCAGACTTAGTGGAGAAGGAGGAAGAGGGGCGCCTGGGTGGCTCAGTCGGTTGAGTGTCTGACTCTTGATTTCATCTCATGGTTTGTGGAATCAAGCCCCACATCAGATTCTGGGCTGACAGCGCAGAGCCTGCTTGGGATTCTCACTATGTCCCTCTCCCATTCATTCTCTCTCTGTCTCTGTCTCTCTCTCTCTCTCTCAAAGTTAATAAATAAACATTTAAAAAAAAGGAAGAGAGAAGGTGTACCCTGTGAACTCACTCTCCCCACTTTGCCCCTTCTGATGTTGACAGTTGCAGAAGCCAAGTCACCTTCACATTGACAAGGTCTCCCGAGTTTCCTTCTTGCCAGAGTTGTCTCCAGTCCATCCCATTCCCCTCCCCACAAACTATGATACACAAACCTCCTCAGAAGCCCAGCTTACGTACCCAAGGATGAGTGAGAAGGCAAGGTTCAGGTACAACTAAATAAAAATGTCTGATACAAGAAACCATTTCCCTGAAATACCATCCTATTCTGTTTTCCCATCAGTATTAGGTAACGTAATATGTACTCAGAACAGAGCCTCAGATGTAGTAATAATAATAGAGTCTCCACACAGAGCACCTGCTATGTGCCAGGCACTGTGCTACTGCATTCACAAGTATGATCTCACCTTCCTGACCCTGCCAAGTAGGTATTATCCCTGCTGTAAGTTGAGGGAGACACATGCAGAACAGTTAAATACCTGATCACATAGCTAGGTGGGCTTCCAACCCATGTTTCTCTGATTTTAAGAAAAACTCAACTATATAGATTCTCTTCTTCCTTCCCTTTCCTTCCCTTTACCTCCCCATCCTATGTGTTAGGGTCTCAGAAGAAAGCAGAGAGCACATGGGTAATTGAGGCAAGTTTAATAAAGGGAGTATATAGGAAGGTGTGGGCAGGGTTTGGACAGAGCAAGGAGTGGATGGTGCAATCCCCTGGGGCTGAGAAAGAACATTCCTGTGCTTGGTGGCGCAAGTGTCCGCTGGGGGATGAGCAAAAACAAAGTTGCTACCCCGGCTGAAGAGAAGGGAACAGTTAGCAGAAATGAGAAAGGGGCGTCCAGTAAGAGCTGTGGCCTCAGAGGAGGGATACAACCAGTTTGCAGGGATCCGACCAGGAGGACACTAGAGGAGCACCCTCCCACCCTCACTCCACTTCTACTCTGTGATCTACTGCCAGGGTCTCTTTTTGCTCATGCCCAAAGCGAAGCCAAAGGACAAAATTGCCTGTTGGTGCATTGCAGGCATATCAGTCTTGTGAGGCACATAAATCTGGAGGCTCAAATCCAACATGCCATCGACTGTCTGCTAGTTTCAACCTGAGTGGTCTTGCCAGGCCTTTTCAAGGCTGAATTGGGAGGGACACAATTGTAGCTACTTCAGGTGGAAAGGATTTGCAGGACTACAGAAAGGAGACTTGAGGACATGGGACCCTGGGCTCCTCATATGTTTCTGGGTCACTGATGCTATCAGCATCTGAGGGAAATGAGCAGAGGTTGGGAGATTTCAAGCAAGGGTGAGTCATGCACGTTTTGCCTCCTCCCAGCCCAGGAGCCCTTACATTCCCTTTCAGCCACCTGTGCTTTCAGCCATCAGCACTCTCTTTCCTTCCACGGCCATCGCCTTTCCTTTCCCAAGACCTACTAACCAGGACAGGAACCATCTTGAGCTGGAACCATATCATATCAAGAGCTGGAATAAAGCTCGACAATGGCTCCCTAGAGAGAACATCAGGATCAGAAAAAGGAACAATCGGATCATTTCCAAAAGCTATGAATCCCCAGCGAGGAGTCAGAGAGGGCTATAAAGGAGCAGATGAAAGTGACTTTAAATGAGCTTGCAGTGAGGAAGGATGGAGTGAGAACAGGTAAGAGAGCCATGGGGAAGGAGGGAGAGCAGAGATAGCTGAGCCCTGGCAACTAGAAGCCAGATTCAGGAGTAAACTCTGACACACTTCATTCAGCCTTGACAGGTTGTAACCGAAAAACCTTAGAATCATGAGAGTTTTTAAAAAATAGAGGAAAGATGCAGGTTGGGGAAAAGGATAGAGAAGAAGCTAGTTGCAATAGTCACCAAAGAATTTATGTGGAAGTGTATTCAAGTCTCCTGAACCCCTGTGCCCTTTCCCCATCCCTTATTTTCCATCCCCACACATGTATTTTTTATATATTTAAACAGGAAAAAAAAAAGCCGGAAGAATGAGACCTCCAACTGCCCTCCCACCTAGAACCAACTTTCCACTTTTGCAACAATAAATGGTTCCCTGAAGTAACCCTTGGGAGCTCCCCCACCTTTCATTTGCATGCAGGCCAAGGCTTGGGTTTTTACAGTTGTAAGCTGACAGTCGGTGAAGAAAAGGAGAGGAGATGGGGCACAGCATCAAAGAGAATGGAGGTTAGTGAATATCCTGGGGCAGGATGGGAGGTCAGCCAAAGACGGGCACCTGTGAACAAGATGCCCCAGGAACAAAACCAGAGAGCTCCAGGCTAACTCCTGTGAGACAGTCCGTTCCACTTCACCCCTTTGCCAGTGTCTTGCCTCCCTCACAGGAGACAGTGCCCATAGGAAACGGTCCCTTGCTCCCGGCTTTAGAGTTCGAAGAATGGTTGCCAGAATCAGAATGGGTTGGTATGTGTGAGTGTATGTGCGCCAGCTGGTCAGGCACCCTCATGTTCCCTGCCCCCGCACCTGAGGGAGGAGCCCGTGGCCACTTGCAAAGGTGAAGCAAAAGGGGTGTGTAGACAGGTGGTACCCCCCCAGGCCCCAGTCTGCAGGGATGCTTAAAGAGGCCAGTTGCTGACTACTTCCTTTTAATTTCAATTTTGTTCAGAATTACTATCTTTAGATGTAGTGAATGTCAAATATAGAATGCATTCTACCTTTACTATTTATTTACCCAGTTTGGGGGAAATTCTGATGTTGGCAAGGAGAGAGGGTGCAAACAACGTAATTGCTCTGGGCACCATTTACCTTGACCACACCCCTGGCCTCTAGTGAGAACTGATTCTCACTTTCCATTTAGTACCAAAATCTCTAGAAAGGTGGCGTCTCCCACTCTGGCATTGCCCTAACTCTGTAAAGGAGTGCCCTCTGAAGTTTCACATCTCTCCCTCCTACTGCAGGATCAGTTTTGTGTGTACTTTCAGAGACTCACTCTTTCAAATCTCTTCATGAGTTCCAGACTTTCCAAGCTGACCCACAAGATTCTCATCACCGTAGTCTTCTAGTTTTATTCTCTTTCCCAGTAAACCCTCTCTTAGCTATCTTGGACTTCCATCCCTGAAGTCAGGGAAACACATCCCTTGAGAATGAGAGGAAGAGAGAAACAGGAGTCCTAAGCCTGAAGCAGAGACAAAAAGTAGGGAGTTTGTGATTCAGCCTTCTGTGAAGTCACCTCACCTCTCCTGAGCTCTGACCTTCAGAACAGGCAGGAGCCACAGACCGTGGCTTCCCTATGTAGCTACTGCATAGAATCACAAAGAACACTGGGAGATTTGGGAGGGAAACCGAGACTGGGGGGGGGGGGGGGGGGAGTTAGGAAGAACCATGCCAACCACAGGAGGGCACTGCGTCCCCATGGGCTAGCCTGGAATGTCTAGGACCAACAAAGTGAAGAGGTCAGACAAGGACAGCGAACCCCCTCTCCCTTGCTCCCAGCAGAAAACATCTCTCCCTCTTCCTAGCTCTTGGGTTTCTCATGCTGACACATTTATAGGAGAGAGACACACAGTCACCACCATGTCACACACCACCTGCGTGACAGATACATACACACACACTCACACATGTACACATGGTATCCTCCCTCTTCTGAAGATTACCTTGCTAACGGTGTTCTCTGTGTGAGAAGACCTGCCTTCCTTCCCATAATGCACAGTAGCACCTTTTGCCAGGCAAGGCTGATGCTGGTTGGAGTTCTTTGCCTTTCTGTCACGTTTTGTTTACCTAGGAGCTAGTCAGTCCAGTGATTCCAATTGTGCTATTTCTTTAGGGTGGCATTAAAGCACTCTTTGCTACCTGCCCGGCATGAGGTCACCCAACACACTTGCCATCAACAGCTAGCTCTATAACCCTGCGAGTCACCTGAGACCCCAGCCCCCTCCAGTCCTGGCCTCACGCATTTATAGCAGTCTCAGTCCTGAGAGAGTGACGAAATGCTCAAGAGTCAGTAACATATTCCATGCCTCCCTTCCATGTCAGTGTGTCAGCACCAGACAGCAAGCTACATTAGTCCTCAGCTCAGTTTCATTGAGGAAAGCACATAATTGTGTGTGGAGTACTCTAGAAAGTACTCCGGCAAGTGACCTTGTAATATTCCATCCACAGCACTCTTAACAATAACACTGTAAAAAAGTACCTTCCCATTTTTTACTTTTTGTGCCCCAAGAGCCCAAGAATCAGCCTGCAACAGCCACAATATCTGAAGTCCTTTTGCTGAGTATTGTTCATACTTGTTGAAAAGCTTCTCAGAGAACCACAGTCTAAAACTCCCTGAATTCTTGGATTCATGGGGGAGTAGGATTCCTGAGAGGAAATCCTTTGTGTTCTTGCTCTCCTGAAGGAGTCTTCAGATTGGGGTCAACTATGACCAACCCAACCCCTGTAGTAACTGCGTGAGGCCTGGCCTACTGATTCTATTGAACCATCTAAAGTGGAATCTAGGGGCACCTGGGTGACTCAGTTGGCCAAGCGTCCAATTCTTGATTTTGGCTCAGGTCATGGCCTCATGGTTTGTGAATTTGAGCCCTGTATCAGGCTCTACACTGACAGTGTGGAGCCTGCTTGGGATTCTCTCTCTCCCGGTCTCTCTGCCCCTTCCCTGCACAAGTTCTCTCTCTCAAAATAAAGTTTTAAAAATTAAAAGTAAAATAAAATAAAATAGAATTTAGGTGACCCCTAGGGAGGATCCTGCAGGAAAGTGGTCACAAGATGTCCTTGGACACTTCAGCCAGTATTCTGTACTTCCTGCTTCAGATCATGATGTTGGTGACATCAACTAACTAATAATAAGTCCCATAAAACCTACATAGCTCCTCTCTCCCAAAACTTGAAAATACTATCAATATCAAGGACAATACCATCCTATTGGAATAGGGGCCAGTGACCATGTAGTCACGTTCTGTGAAGTGTCCATGCCATATCTGAGAAGAGAATGTGGTTGGGCAGGGGGTCATGAACAGCGGCATGATGCGGGCATACTCAGACAAGGAAGAATGGCACTCAGTTCCTCTACAGTTTATTATTACAGCAGAAATTGTGGGACACAGGAGGGCACCCTCCACACATAACACAGTGTGGTCAGAGCCCCAAGATAGCCCTTCCCACCCCTATGACAAGCCCCAAGCAGCCCTGCCCCAGCTTAGCTCCCTCCCCCTCCCACTCTAGACACACACTGTCTAGACAGCTACCAAAGTTAGTGCAGCCAATGGCCCCAGGCCCCTTCCTATTGCCCCAGCTCCGATCCTTCCCTCATACTTGCTCATTGCCCACCACCTCCCATTCCAACTTCCATTTCACACACTGGGTGTTTCTATACCATCCTGAGGACCATTAACCCACCAGCAAGCCTCCCCTGACACACATTCAGTTAGGTCCATACCCGTCAGAGATCTGAAGGGTTCATGAGAAGCCCTATCAGATTTGGTGAATGGAGTCCTGGCCCCAAGTCCCCCACCCTTGCAATGGGATAAGTAGGGAGAGTCTGGTGGAGGCACATGGGCAACTACAACAACCTCTTGTCCCTTATCAACAGACACCTAGATTAGGGAGAGGGGTACGTGCCCTCACCACCTTAACACCACAATGAGGGAGAGGGATACTTTAGGGGTCTGGGTCCCTAAGAGATATTGGGACATCTCTCCCAGGAGCTGAGGGGAATCACAGGTTAGAGGTCAAGGTTAGGGTAGCAATCAAAGATCAAGGTCATCTCCCCACATGATCTGCCCATCTTCCCTTACTCTGGCCCAGTGCCCTATGCACCTCCCAGGTTAGTGCTGGGGGAGGTGAGGGCTGGGTCCTACACCAGGGCAACAAAGGTCACTCAACAGGAGACCTCCATGGTATGCCCTGGAGGCCCTGAAGGGAGAGTTCCAGACTCGCTGCTCTGGGACAGGGTGCGAGAGCGGGACCGGTTGCCGTCAATGGATGCTGCACTGGTCAGGGAGGCTGTGCGCGATCGTGACAGGCGAGTCATGCAGGATGAGGCCACTGTGGAGACAGAAGGATGAGCAGGTAGGCATAAAGGAGGTGAGACAGAGAGGCTGGCAACTCAAGAGTGGGGTGCTTGGGTGAGCCGAGAGTCACAAATGGGGCTGGAGCGGGAGGTCAATGATTTGGCAGACGGTGGTAACTTCCAGAACTAGCCTGAAATGGTTCCCTTCCCC